TTACAAACTATGAACATGCAGAATCCTTCGAACTATATCCTCGTTTACAGACATGCATTTATATGTAGAGGTAATATCCCTAGAGGAACATAGGAGACCAATCAACCAAGGGGGGAGGGGGGGAAGGCAGAGGGAAAGGAAGAGACACAGAAACATCCATTAGATCCTAGCATATGCCATATTGTCTCCACACAATCTCACAAATATTCAAAGCAGCATCAAAATAGCAACAAATCACTTCTCCTACCCAAAATTACCTGGAGACAAATCCTCCAGATTTTTATAGCACCCACTTCCAAGCCAGGAAATTCAGGGCTGCAGCATTTGTAACAGCCATCCCAGTCAATAAATGCTTTGGTAGGATTAACTAGATTCATTTTCTCCCCCAAAACCCAGGGTGAGTTTTCTAGCATTGAGGGATGTTAATGACAAACCCTAAATAAGTATTCCCTAATCATAAACCTCTGAAGTTCATTACTAAAGCAGACATAGTTAGCTCCACCTTCCTTCAATATTCCTGTTTACCTTTCCAACTGTAGCCTTCCTCAACTTAGTGACCTCCAAATGAAGAGAACAGCACTTCCCATTTTCCCTACTTCTAACACTTCTGGTTAGAAGTGATTTTAATGTAAGCAACACCCCATCACAAAACAGAATTACCACAAGACTTCCCAAATAGAAGGCCATTTCCCTTGTGGGCACGCCAATCCACTTGTAAAATAATTAATTAATCCAGTAGATGGGCAGAGACATCACTCACAAAGTTCACAATGTGTTACAGTATAAATGTTGTATATATAATACAAAGCTCATGTCGCAACATTTATGTGGGTAAAACAATTAGAGCTCTTGAATTATGTACTGGGGATTATTTAGGGAACATAAAAACCAGAAGATAAGAGCCAATTTAGTAAAGCATTTAATGGAAATAAAGACATCAAATTTCAAAACTATGTTTCTGGATTACAAAGCAAAGTAAACACAGTAATAAAAATTTTATTAAGAAAACAAAAACATGTTATTCTTAAATAGTTTAATCCCCAGGGGACAAAATGAGGACAGCCAATATTTACTATTGATTGGATCCTCAGATACTGCACTTTTCATTCCCTTTGCCTTTGCCTTTCCTTTTCTCTCCAAAGCATATACCTAAAATATTTTTCTTGCACAACAAAACGATGCATTCCTTCATTTCCAGCCTTATAATTTTTTTCAGTAAGACATACCAAGTCGATTTCCTTTTAAAGGGAAAACATCTTTATATAATAAAAGCACTGATTAACGCTATGAGGTTAAATAGCTACTCCCCTTCAAGCAAGTCTGACAGAATCCTTTAATTGAAATGATTTAGCACAGGAAAGATAAATATGCAAAATACTTCTCTTTTGTGGATTCTTCCTCTTACGTCTTTTTTCTCTCAAAGTAGTATACATCAAAACAGCATTGTTAATAACCAGAAGAACAGCAAAAATTATCTAGGTATTTGCAGTGACCTGGTGGAGAAACTGGGGCTATTGTATTTTATAAATATATATATATAAAGCATAATTAAAAAGAGGCAAAAGATGAACCAACAAAATCATTTCAAATATGAATTTGTGAAGTCTTATTGTCCTCTCTTAATGTACAGGTCTTCCATTCTTTTAATGGGAGTTCTTTTTATAGCTCTAAGGTATTTTTGCTATATTGACTTCTGTGTTTTGGTTTAGCTTTAAAGCGATAATAAAACTAATTTTAAAAGGTTTTTAAAATGTGCTCCTTCTGCTGCAAATTCCAAACAATATAGTGCCAAGAGATGGTCTTTTCTACATGTGAATGTCTTTAAGATGGATTAAATTGTGTAAGTTTTGTATGTTTTTTTTTTCTTTTGAAACGCTCTTGATAAAGGACTTGCATGAGGTTTCCATTTTTTTTTTTCCCCCTAGTGGCAGTTGAGACAATTTCTCAAGAGTTTTTTTTTCACGTTTGCCACCCACTTTTTCTTTTCTTTTCTAATTTTTTTATCCCACTTTTTTTTTTATAAATAAGTCAAGGTGGTGAACATACCTAATACTCCTTCCTCCTCCTATTTTCCCCATAACTACTACCCTCTGAGGTGAGTTGGGCTGAGAGAGAAGCTTGCATGCCTAAGGTGGGGCTAGAACTCAGAGTCCCCTCGTTTCTAGCCAGGTGCCTTAACCACTACTTTTCTTCTTTTTTAAATGGAGAAGATGGAAGTTGCAATGCAATATTTCTGGAATGGTAGAGAAGCCAGCATTAGCGCTTTCTCCAGTGTAGTTGTTCTAGTTGTTATCACTGTCCATTTAGTAGGAAGGCAATGTCAGAAGCAGGTAAGCTACTAACCTGTAAAATTAGTATACTTAAAGGGCATTGAATCTGAGGTAGTGGGTGATTCTTTCTTATTTCCCAGACTGAAACCTCTCTGTACATTATGACATTGCACATTCAAGTCAAATTGGTAGTGTGCCAAACAATGATTTAATGAATGAGCCTTGTTTCTCTTTAGAAAGATGTAGAGGAACAATAATATTACAAATTTTAGAAGAAGGTTCTCACATAGAACTTGGGTCATGGCTTATCCAAGCCAAATGTCACAGACTTCCCTGAAAGAGGAAGTGTATATTTATATTCTTCCTGTCCAAACCATACAGCATGGCACATGGACCATACTCCTTTCAAGTACTAGGGAAAGCAGATTGTTCAGAATGACAGTCATGAATTTAGGAGGTTCTTTTAAGTAACAGTAATCTGATTTCCTTCCTTATCATTTAAAGGATACTGATTTTACCATTTTTCCCCCCACATCTATACATTGAACAAGAGGGTAAAATTTACATGCACATATGGGTTGAATTATATTCAAAGAAAAGGAAAGAAAAGATCCCTAATCAAAAGACATCTGCTATAAACAATTCAGCGGGAGGCTTTGCTACCTGCTGTAATATAAAGAGAGTCCCTGGAAAATGAGAAAAACATATTGACACTAACCAAAGAAAACAAGTTAGCTGATGGAAGCCAAGGAGATGAGAATGTATATGCTGAAGATGAAATAATGGGAATTTGACTGCAGGTGAAATAGTTCATGCATTCTCAAAAACACTTCTGCAGTGAAAAGCTGAATTTCCTCAAGTCTTCAAGGATAAAAAGGCATTTTTAACTGGTTGTACTATTAATTAAATCCATGTCTCATCTCTAGGAGAATGCCATAAACCTATGTTTGAATAGACCAAGCATTAAAAATAGTACATAAACAAAATATTAAAAAGATCTATTGATTTTACTGCAATATCTTGTGGAACAAGTACATTTGATGACTCACAAAGAGTTTAATGTGGGCATTTAATCTTACACACAAGTATTATTGAATAAGAGTTTCATACGTTTAAAAGGAATATTGCAGGGCAATTTCTGTGCACCTCATCTTCCCTTCTCCCCACCCCTATTATTTTAATTCAATTATTTCTATCAAATTTAATACTGCATCAGTCTTCATGCCACATATTACATTTAGCCATAGAAACAGAAGAAATGGTGATGTAGTGATTGATTTGATTCTAGATAGCACAAGGACCTTCCAGGACTTAACGTAGTTCCTACCTCAAACATTTCTGAACATTAGAATGGAACTGTCCAGATTGGACTTATCAAATGGCTGAAACTGTGTTTTGACAACAACACTCACCAGTGCTGAATGGAAATAAGAATGGAGAATGGAATTAAGAAAGAGATGGTGGTAAGAAGCACAATACTGGTTACAATTAGGATCCAAAGATGGGACAGATTCACATTATTTACAGCCAAGCCAGAAATGCAACTTCTTTACTATCAGTAGGAAAAAAGCAAGACCAAAGAAATAATTAATTATATTTGAGGTTGCTGATGGAAACATAATTGTCCCTACCTATATAGCTTGTTCAGTTCTTGTGAGATGTAGTGAAGAATGTGAGGAAGTGCTAGAACAAAACAAGTAACATTCAAAACAGGGGTCTGCTGTTGCCAGCAACAGACAATATAGTTAAAGTAGGACTTGTAGTTTGAGAGCCCAGAAAATCTATACTTCCCTGTGACCTCTGCTCCTTCCAAAATATGTGCTAAGCTGCTACCAGCCCTCCCATCCCTTGCCAATAATGTTCTTCAAACTTTCAAGCTGAATACATCACAGATATTGGTCTGCAGGAGCAATGTTGTATGGAAAGGGGGAGGGGTAACTGGAGCACTCACATAGCAAGTACTCCAATTTTATAGTGGCTCAAAGCAGGAGGGATCTCCCCACCCCTCATTCCCCCCACACACCCAAGATGAAGCCTTGATGCTTTCTAGACATCTCAGACTACTGTATAGCAATGCATTCTGCATCACCAGGTACAGAAGGTTTATAAAATAAGATAGTATTGTACTATCCTAAACACGATCCTTCTAAAAAAAAGTAATAATAAAAAAATGAAAAGTTTTTGAAGAGTATAATATATAATTCATTATTTTTGCAATGAAAAATGACTCCCAAAATAATAAAGCTTTGAGGGAGTTTACTTATAAAATGTTTACATTATGTTTTGTTCCTTAATTGAAATATGAACAGGGTAATATCTTTCTTAAGATCTTCATATAAAGAGTAATATGTTTATTAATCTACAAAATAGCAAATACAGCAAACTCTGCATGGTTTTATGTTGAACAGGCAGAATTTAGAAGTTTGGCAGAAAAATCCCAATATAACCACAGAGTAATTTTGAAAAAAGCCAAAAATATAACATACAGAATTATCTCACAATTCAAGAG